CCCCTGCGGGCAGGAAGCAGGGGGTCTCAACCAGGGGCTAGACCCGCCCCACCGTGGGAGGCCCCCGGCTCCAGCCGCATCACCCGCATCACCGGCATCACCCGCCGGGCTGGGCCTCACCCCGCGCGGCCCGCAGTGGGTACGGGAAGTCAAGGCGCTCCACCGCTGACAGCGCTCCCAGGTAGTCGGCCGCACTCTGGGCATCAGGAAAACAGTGGTCGTTCTCCGGTGACTGCAGGCACAGACGGTTGTCAATCTCCAGCATCACCACCGAGCTGTGGGGACACAGGGGCCGGGACAAGCAGGCTCAGCAGGCACCTGCTACAAACCCCGCCCCATCTCCCCCACCCCATCTCCCCCAACCCAGGCCAGGCTTAGAAAAGCATCTCTACTTACCAGTCTCCACCACCCGAAGCCCCTCATCTGGCATTCAACCCCACCACACCCCTAAAACAAGTGCTGTGGCCACCAGTGCCCTCTGAGCCATGAATCCAATGGCCGTTGTTTTCATGTCAGCAGCTCCTTTATCGGGCTGGTGCTCATAGTGCCAGCTAAGAGCACTGGCTTCCACCAGGTGACAGCTGCCCATTCTCCAGGGAACTGGCCTCAGCAAAGTGGGGATCCCTTCCCTCGGAAGGTGACACCCCTTAGGGAAGCCCTCCACCAGTGACTGGCTGACATGGGGTGTACAAAAGCTGTCCTGCCTATTTCAAGGTGGGACCAACTCTGAGGTGCTATTCTTGCTCCAGAGCTCCCCAAGGGAGCAGGCTGAGGCCAGACCCTGACTGAGAGGCTACCTCCTGCCTCAGTTTTTCCCTTGCCGCATCCTGCTTCCTCATTCTCTCACTCCCTCTCTCCTGGGAGCATCCTTTCAATACATCACATGTAGCTAACTCTCCATCTCAGGCTTTACTTCCAGGAACCCAGCCCTGCAAACTTTCTCCTTCTTCAGGATCCTCAGTACCCCCACGCTCTGGGTCTCCTATCTCTGGCTGCTCCTTCTTCTCTTTTCTGAGCTAATTTTCCTCAACCAGTCCTTAGGACTCAGCATCCTCAGATCATTCTTCTGTCCCCACTTCCCTCCCCAATTCTTTGAGTCCCTCCCATGGCTTCAGTGATGGCCACTTTCGTCTTTCTTGTCTCAATCTTCAGACCCCAGCTGCCTCCTGGGGGTCTCCCTGAGGCCCCCAAACTCTCCCCAGACTCTGCAAGTCCCAAAGCGACCCCTGGTTTTCACCCTGTGTCTTCATCTTGATGAGACCCCTTCCAGTAACTGGGTCACCCCAGCCAGGGGCTGGCACATCAGCCATCCTCTCCATCTCCCCCATCCCAGCTGCACCCAGTCAGAGCCCCTGCCCCTCACCTCTAAAACCCAGTCCTTCTTTCTGTGTCAGTCCCACTCTGCTCAGAAGCCACATGTCCCTTCTGGCCCCTGTACCAGGCCACCAACAGGAGAGTTCTATATTTTTCATTTCTCAAAAAACAAACAAAACACTGCACATGCCCTTAAACACTCTTCTATACCCCTGCCTCTCCAGATGGAAGTAGCTAGCACTAGACCAGGAACTAGTCTGCTCCCCAAAGGACCCTTGGAGGCCTTTTGGGGGTGTCACATCTTGGGGGAGAGGGGTGTGCTACTTGCATCTAGTGGGTAGATCTAGCCAAGAACGCTGCTAAGCATCCTACAGTAGACAGGACAGACCCTCACTGAAAAGGACGATCCAGCCCTCAGTGTCAATGGCGCCGAGGTTGGGATGTACTGGACATACTGCCAAGAAGGTTCTCCCAGATGTTAATGCAAGTAAACGCCCAAGACCTGACCACGTGCCCCTCCCACGCCCTGCGCAGCTCCTGTGTGGCCCCCACGGCTCCCAGGGGTGGAGTCACTCACCCGATCACCTCCGGGGCCAGCTCCCGCCGGTTCCGGGATTCGGAGCCAGGACCAGGCCGGTGGTAAGGGAAGACCATGGCCTGGCCGTGCTCGTCCAGACGGAAGCGCAGCGAGGTGCGCAGGATGCCACTGAGCCGCTGCAGGAAGTCGGCGCTAGAGCGCAGCAGCTCCTCGGGTGGCAGCAGCACAGTGAGCACCAGGACGCCGCGGGCCAGCAGGGCTGGCACCTCACCCGCACAGTCCAGTCCATCCCAGCCGCACTCCTCTGTGTTGCAGCCCTGGTCGCAGCGGCCATCGGCAAAGTGGTCCGCACAGTACTTCTCGTACACCGGGCTAGGGGTGGAGAGAGGCGTGGTCAGGGGGCCTAGGACACCTATGCACACACACCCTAGAGCCCCTGGTAGAGCACCCGATGGACTCTGGAGACAGCGCAAGCGCAGAGATCTGAACTGTAACTACATGAGTCAGGCTTTCTGCAAATCCAGACATTCTCCCTGTAACTATTAATAAGTCAATAACTATTCACAGACGTCTGCTATGTTCTGGGCGTTGCTGTAGGCACTAAGAATATGGCCCCAACACAAATCCTTGCCCAGGTGGAGCTGGCTTTCCGCTGGGCAGAGACAGATGTTAAAGGAAATGAATGAATAGAATATAAAGCATTTCAATTACACACCAATAAAAACTAAACGTAAACACACAGTGCTATATGGAATTAAATGCTAAGGCAAAAAAAAAAAAAAGGCAGGGGAAGTGCTGAGGGTGGCCAGGAAGGAGCTCACTGAGAAGCTCACTGCTTGAGCCAAGACTTGAAGGAGGTGAGGGAGGAGCCATGTGGCTTCCTGAAGGAGAGCATTCCAAACAGGGGGAATAGCCAGTGCAAAGGCCCTGGGGTGGGACCAAGTTTAGGGAATCTGAAGAACTGCAGAGAGGGTGGCTGGAGCAGAATGAGCAAAGTGGAGAGTAAAAGTGGTAATGAGGATAGGGAGATAAAAGTGAGGAAAGGGTTCCAGGCAGACAGAGGGACACACAAAGGATCACACAGGGCAGAGCACAGGGATGGACAGATGGAATGCATGGGACAGATGGACAGGGCTCATGAACAGACAGAAGAGCAGGAGGACAGGGATTGACAGGCAGGGGCATAGACAGATGGATGGCCATATAAAGGGGCAAAAAGGGTGCATGGATGGACAAGTGGGCACAAAGATGCACAAGTGGACAGATGGGGCACACAGATGGACAGACTGGCATAGAGACAGACAGATGGACAGATGAGGTCCAAGGATGAACAAGCAGGGGTGCAGACAGAGAGCTAGGTGCACAGAGGGATGAAAGGAATTCATGGGTGGACAGGAAGACTGACAAACAGAGCAAAGGAAGAGACTGATGGAGTACACAGGCAGACAGAAAAGCAGCAGAAGGGGCCCAAGGATGGACAGACAGCGCACAGGAGTGGGAAGACAGACAGACATAAATGGCACATGGATAGGTTGATGCGGTGCACAGACAGACAAACTGCATTCAGATGGGCAGACAGGGTACACCAAGAAACAGATGTGGAAAATGAAGGGGCAATCCAACAGACGGACTAAGGATGGACTGACAGACCAAGGCCAATGGGTGGGCAGATAGAGAGGCAGGGCCCATGGATGGTCAGATGTGGCACACGGACAGACAAGACACAAGACTGAGGACGGGCTCACTTGCAGGTGCGCTCGCGGCCGCCGGCGCGGCAGTCGAAGTTGTCATAGAGGCAGGCGGGCGAGCTGCAGGCGGGGTCGCAGCGGCTGTTGTTGAAGAGGAGCCAGCACTGCAGCGCCGCGCACTGCCGCCAGGGGTCGCCCACGCTCAGCGAGCAGTCGCCGCCGTCCCAGCCGCACGCCC